AGCGCCTGAGGGTGTCAGCCCGCTGTCCCGGGGCGGGGGCGTTGGCCCGGCGGCGGGTCCGTCAGTGTTGCCTCCCGCTTGTGGCGGCAGGGAGGGGGTTTAGAGCGGCTGGGGGGTGTATGTGTGAGGAGCGGTACTACACACTGTGGGAGTTTGGTCAAGGGGTTTTGGGTGCTGTTTGAGTTTACTCCTTTTTCTGTTTGTTTTTTTTTTTTTCTCTCGTTGTTGTTTTTATTTTTTTAAAGTGGCCGAAAGGGTGGCTGCTCTCGGCCGTGTTTATATATCCGTGCTTGTTCCCTCTCGGGAGCAGGTGTGTGGTCCTGTAGCGCTCTAAGAAGATTTAGGTTATTCCTGCGTTGTAAAAGAATGTAAACAAGGTTGTTGTTCTTACGACATACGCCTTTCTCAACTCTGCACAGCGAGGCAGCTGGAGCTGCCTCAGTGGTGAAGCTGTAGAGCAGTGGGACTTGACAGCACTTACAAGTGTTCTGGTGTAGTGTGGAATGACAGTCCTGGTACCCCTCATATGTATGGGTTTGGCTTTGAAATGTTCAAATAGTTGGTGCTACTGTTGTTAAGTATTAAAACCCTCCTAGGTTTTAATACCATTGTGTATTCCTTATTCATGATGTTAGTACCAACAGCTTTCTGAACACTGTTTTCTTTGCAGCTGTGCTACGTGGAATTTCAGTTGTTTGTGGAAATGATCTGAAATTAAATACCTTGCCCCAGAGCTGAGTTGAAATAGAAACGTTTCTTTAATTGCTTAATCTCTGTGCATTGTAAACTGTACCAGATAGAGCAAGGGTATTGAAATCATGGCATCAAAGCCCTATGAGGATAAATTAATGAGTCGATTGACTGCTGTTCTGTGAAGGGTTAGATCTAAATGTCAGTTGCAGCTATGATTTTTGAGCTCAAGGGAGGAGCAATCCCAGGGGCGTCACTGTTTTTGTTTTGATTCAACCCCATAGCATGTGCAAGGCGGTCAAATTGTAAGACTGCTGGCTTAAGAGAATCAGTTCCCTGCGGGAAGGTGGTGAGTCACCAGTGATGATGGTAGGTCATTAATGACATGTGTACAGTGACTTCAGTGGCTGCTGTCTTTGGCTGTCCCTTCCAGGTGTAATTCACCATGAAACAATTCACTGGCGATGTCATGCGGACATTCAGAATCCTTCAGTGTTACACATAACCCATTCCTGATATTTTTGTTGCTGTTATTATGCTCAGCTCAGTTAATAGTCAGGGGTGTTTGAGGAGGCAGTGTGGGACCCTGTTGCATTAAGGACTTTGCCATTCCCATCCCTCAGAAATGGCCATAATTCTTTGAAAAGCTGAAATTTTTGTGAGCTGGGAGAAAGACTGGCGAAGCTGCGAAGCTGCCAAGTAGTGGAATGGAGCCCAAGGCTTTCTGAAAACAGTAGCCCCAAAGTTAAGCTTCTTTAGCACCAGTTAACAGCAGACTGATTTGAATGCAGTGAGGTCGCAAAGCCAGTGAACCTGGAACTGGTGAAGGTAAGGCTGTGTCTCAGTAGGTAGCACTCAGTTACTCCCAGAGATGTTTCCTGAAAAATATTAGGTGACCTTGAAGACTGAGATGTTGTTCACTTATATGCTAAGGGAGGTGAATGGTTAGGCTCAGGGCAAGGCTAACCAGCAGGCATTGTGTTTGACTTCAAGGCTAAACCCTCAGAAGAGAGAACAGCAGGTTTTGCTTTCAGGTTAATTCAGAACATGATTTCTCTTGCCCTTTCTCAGATGAAATCCCTGTTAATGATTATGGCATTTTTTGCCTTGGAAAGTGAGAACTGAAAGGCACTTCATAAATTTTAGAAGTAACTATTTTATCTAACAGCAGTGTTTGTGAGGAATACTGGATGCTAGTCAAAGGTAAAGGGAGTTTCTCCTGTATGAGGACTGCAGGAGGGAACTTGGAGATTGTAGAGGGGAAAGGAACATCATGTGTTTGTAAAGTATGTGGATTGGTACACTGCTAAAAATATGATCTAGGGATACAGTATCCTGTGGAAGTTACTGACTTTGAGTTAATCCTCAGGATTATTGTCATGTTATAAACAGTAATAAGTCCTAGTTTAAAGAATTGTGCTGATCTATTTTTAACCTCTCACCTGTAGCTTTAGCTAGCTTTGGGGTGTGTCAGAAGTGTTTTGTGATCAGAAGTGTTTACAGGTTTTTAATATACTAGAAAAGACAGTCTGAAAGCAAAGGCAGTGTATTGCCATTGTATAAAGAAGCTGTGAGCATATGTTTCAGGTAAAAATAGGCTTGAGATGGGAGATTAGCTTGGGCCTTGATTTGAGATGTCTTCATGTGTGCCTTCTCACAAGGCCAAGTCATGTCAGATGTTTAGTGAAAGTATATGTGATGCTGTCAGCAAGTTTTCAAGAGTAGCATGTTTTCCCCAATTGTGGAGCAATATTGAAAGCTAATTTCATCTCTGTTCTTTGTCATATTATCAGGGTCATTGAAAA